ACTTCTTCGACACTACGGCGTGCCTCAGAAGATAGTCAATATCATACAGAACTCATATGATGGATTACACTGCAAAATCGTGCATGGAGGACAGTTGACAAAGTCGTTCGAAGTGAAGACCGGTGTCAGGCAAGGTTGCTTACTCTCACCCTTTCTCTTTCTCCTGGTGATCGACTGGATCATGAAGACGTCAACGTCTGAAGGGAAGCGCGGGATACAATGGACATCTGAGATGCAGTTGGATGATCTAGACTTCGCAGACGATCTGGCCCTTCTATCCCAAACGCAACAACAGATGCAGGAGAAGACAAATAGTGTGGCAACAGCCTCAGCAGCAATAGGTCTCAATATACACAAAGGGAAAAGCAGGATTCTCCGATACAACACAGAATGCACCAATCCAATCACAATTGATGGAGAAGATTTGGAAGATGTAAAAACCTTTACGTATTTGGGCAGCATCATTGATGAACAGGGTGGATCTGATGCAGATGTGAAGGCGCGGATCGGCAAAGCAAGAGCAACATATTTACAACTGAAGAACATCTGGAAGTCAAAGCAACTGTCAACCAACACCAAGGTCAGGATTTTCAATACAAATGTCAAGAAAGTTCTACTGTATGGGGCAGAAACCTGGAGAACTACAAAAGCCATCATCCAGAAAATACAGGTGTTTATCAACAATTGTCTACGCAAAATACTTCAGATCCATTGGCCGGACATTATTAGCAACAACGTACTGTGGGAGAGAACAAACCAGATCCCAGTGGAGGAAGAAATCAGGAAGAAGCGCTGGAAGTGGATAGGACACACATTGAGGAAAGCACCGAACTGCGTCACAAGACAAGCCCTCACATGGAATCCTGAAGGTCAAAGGAAAAGAGGAAGACCAAAGAACACATTACGCCGAGAAATGGAGATAGACATGAGAAAAATGAACAAGAATTGGATGGAACTAGAAAAGAAGGCCCAGGACAGAGTGGGTTGGAGAATGCTGGTCAGCGGCCTATGCTCCATTGGGAGTAACAGGCGTAAGTAAGTAAGTAAGTACGTTCTAACCCATTGTCTACTGTTCATCTCTCGATTATCGCAACGTCCTTCTGAAGTTCAATCGAATGCTTTTCGCTTTTCATGGACGTCTAGAACTTGTATCGTTTTTATAGAATAGTGACGCCGAGCTTATTTTACCTAGTAGGTCGTCAACAAAGATTAAAAACAGGAGATGACTTTTGCGAAACTCCTGCTGTTGGGACCTTCTCATTCGTATATACTCTATTTAACGATTGGGCGATCCCTACATGTAGATGTGTCACACAGTAAGGTTCCCCTACCTGTTCTCATCTGTTTGATGCGTAGTTTGAGGGTTGTAGACGATAACACGTGCTGAAGATCAGTGTTTTCTTTTTGAAGCTGGGCGGGTTTAAGAAGGTCGATTCCTTGGAAACTGTTCAAGGAAGTTATGCGGGATAAGGCGTCTGCGACTACATTGTTTGCTCCAGAAATGTGTTGAATATCTGAAGTAAACTGCGAAATGTAGTCCAGTTGTCGAGACTCACGAGGTGAATACCTGTCTGAAGAGCTTAGCGAGAAAGTAAGAGGTTTATGGTCAGTGAAAAAGGTGAATTCACGGCCTTCAATGTAGTTTTGAAAATGTCGTACAGCACAATACATAGCTAGGAGTTCCCTACCGAATGTGCTGTACCTCGATTCGGTGTCTAGCAACCGTCTAGAGAAAAATGCCAAAGGTTGCCAGGGGTTGTTAACCCATTGTTGTTAGACTCCTCCGATTGCTGAGTCGGATGCGTCTACTGCAATACTAATTGGTGCTCAGGCGTCCTGATGTGCAAGCATTGTTGCTTTAGCGATGAGTTCCTCAATTGTGGAGAATGCTTTTCGTGCGGTGTCGTCCAAATTAATGGATTTCGCATTTCCACGAAGTTGGTCGGTAAGAGGTTTCATGAGTAACGCGCATTTCGGTATGAATCGTCTATAGAAACTTACAAGGCCGTTAAACGTTCGTAGCTGCTTGATCGTGGTCGGTTCTGGGCAACCTAGAATGACCACCGGTTTGGCTCTAAAGGGTGGGATTCCTTCAGCATCTATAGTATGTCCTAGAAAGTTAAATGAGTCGGTTCCGATTTGGCATTTCTGAATGTTCACAGTAATGCCACGTTTTTGAAGTCGATCGAAAACAAGATCCAGATGCTTGAGATGTGTTTCTCTGTCCGAACTTGCGATTAGGAAGTCGTCAATATACGCATGTACGAAGTTGAGACCTCGAAAAACGTCGTCTATGAATCTTTGGAATGTTTGAGCAGCATTCCTTAGACCGAAAGGCATTCGCAAAAATTCATAGAGTCCGAAGGGAGTTATGATAGCTGTTTTCGGTATGTCGTCAGTAGCCATAGGGATTTGGTTATACGCTTTAACTAAGTCGATTTTTGAAAAGACAGTTGTACCTTTCTAGGTAGTTGTCAAATCGTGAATGTGAGGCAACGGGTAACGATCGGGAATGGTTTTTGCATTCAATCGCCGATAGTCACCAGTTGGACGCCAATCGTTGCTATCCTTTTTAGGGACCATATGCAACGGAGATTCATATGGGCTATTTGACGGTTGTATGATTCCTAAGTCTATCATGTGGTCGAACTCGTTTTTCGCCAACCTTAGCTTTTCGGGGGCTAGTCATCGTGCTTTAGAGAATACAGGTGGTCCTATAGTCGTGATGTGATGTGTAACGTTGCTGGTTACACACGATAGTTTCGATTGCGTTTGTTGTATCCCAGGATACTTGTCGAGTGGTGGTTGATAAAGTCGGTCTATCGTGTACTTAATTGCGACTGGGGATAATCCGCAACCAGAAAAAGAAGTTATGCAAACCGATAATTTAGTGTTTCCGTCTACTAGCCTCCGTTTGCGCGTATCGATGATTAGATTATGGTGTTGTAGAAGGTCCATACCAATGATTAGCATAGAAACATCTGCAACAAAGAAGATCCAGTGAATGGGTTTGCGCAAACCCACGTTCAGGTAAACGTACCTTTTGCCATAGCGATAGGCTTTCCGTTTGCCGCCTGTAAATTTAAAGCCGATTTGTGAAGCCGGTCGTTGGAATTCGCGGGGAAAACGCTAACTTCCGCGCCAGTTTCGACGAGGTAGCGAAGTCTCGTTATCACATCTGCGACGTATAACAGACGACTATGTTCGCCGGCTACGGTTGCGTTAACGCGTGCCGGCTTGGGGGTTTCCCGAGTTGCTTTTCGAGTCAGTCGGTTTTGAGATGGGAAAATTGAAGGGTTTTCTGCAGTTTCTGGAAGACTTTCTATACTGGTTATGATACCAGCACCAGCCGGGGTTATCCGTCTCTCGTGGTCTAGAGACAGATCGCTTACGTGAAGTGCTTCTACGTGGGATGTGTGATCGCTTACGGTCGTTACGAAGATTAAGATAACGCGTGAGTGTATGACATAACTCTGTTATGTCATTCTGAGACGTTTGAGGCTTTTCTTTGACTGAACAAAACCTCGGTAGTAGAAGATTTCGTAATTTATAAGATACGATCGGCAGATGCAGCCAGTTCGTTTTAGGCGTTGTTCTGAAACGAGACCAGAACCGCTTGCACCTGATGGGGAAGTTAAGACCAGAAAAGTTGTTTGAATAGGCCTTCGTCGAAAGTTCTTAGGTCTATAACCTCTCTCATCCTTTGCAACATGTCCGTCGCAGAACTGTGTTGCAGTTCGATGTTATTAAAGAGTTGGTCTAACCTTTGTCGATCGGTTAGGTCTCCTCGCTTAAGGATAGAACGTTTCAGTGTTTCGTAAGTTTCAGAAACATCACTAGTAAACATACTAGGTGTTACGTACCTGTCGAATTCCCGCGATAGTGACTTGACTACTGCGAGGAATTGTGCACGTGTGTCGTTCACGCCGTGCTCGTGGAAGTCGGCTCTGATATTGTCGGGCCAGAAGGGCATGAGTTGGAACGAGGGTGGGGACATAGTCTTAATCTTAAATACCTTGTGGTTCTGTTCAGTCATAGGGGAAAATTAAGTACAAGAATACACGAGTGGAAAATGTATAGATATCTAAAAACGCGGGGAAAAATATCACAATGTATAAAAATTAAGGTAAAGCAATAATATATAGAATCCCAAAATGGAACAGACCCACAGTTTACGATTTGGTATACCAGATCACGTCGGGCTTACCAATGAAGATGGCACAGGTATTCAGTGTTTGACAACGCTTTTACCAGTAACACCTTCTAATATAATTCGTACCCACGAGGAGAAATCAAAAGACAGAATCGAGGAGATCAGAAATTGTATTTGACGATTGCCAATATATCGGAATTATCTGATCTAATCTGGCTAACGATTGCAGTAGCAGTTGAGCTCGGTGTTCTCACACGTGATCTGGTGCGGATGCACGACCGAGCGCCTTCAGCTAGATGAGTCCACTAAAACTAATCTGGTCAGCATCCAATGTCGAAAACTTGCAGAGTTATTTCTTTTGGGGATTTATTTACCGCTACACCCACATTTAGAATTCTCTTCCAACCTAAGTGACCGCAACCGCCTTAGTGTATAGCTTGAAGAGGAGACTTGAAAAACAAGTGGAATAACATATTCCGTTTAGTATTCCATATTGTCTGCATTACCAACTAAAAAACTTATTTGTTTGCTTTTCGAAACAGTGGTCTTCGCCTAGCATTCGAATTTCATCTTTATTGTTTTTCACACTGTCAGCAACCGGCCTCCTGTCTGGTAATTTGATGACTACTTGTACCCATAAATTCTGCTGTTTCGATACAAGCGCACCCATTCAGACTACCATATATATATAAACCCTCGAATAGCTACCGAAATGACTAGAATTAGAAGAGTCAAGTAGCTAGACAGCCGTCCATTTGACACTACCAAAGATTCTGAGTTATACTGAAACAATAAGGAATGAATTCAAAGGAATCGATCGGCTTATTCGAGCCTCCCACAAGGATATTGGATATTGAAAAGACCTTCTTACCATTTGAACCATTTAGGTTGTTTTAGGCGCCCAAGGCGTATGCGACCTGTAAAATGCCTTTTTACGGTGTTCGAGTCGGTCGTGGCATCGGCGTCTTCTCGAGCTGGTGAGTCCCATTAAGTTTTTAACTAGGAAGTAATTGGGTCTGAGTGCAAAGACCTTGTAAAGGGCTACTCTGGAGCTTGCTTTAAGAAATTTACTTCCTACGATGAAGCTATAAAGTTTATTGGTAGTTTCAGTTGCTCCCCGTTAAAAAAATTACTAGAAGGTGGACATGAGGTCGGAACTGTACTCTTGAAAAAGCGAAGGATTGGAAGCATGAATGACGACCTGGATGGTCGAGGTATGGCTTTTAATTGCTACACATTGAGACAGAAGATCGATTACCGAGCAAGTTATCTCCTGAAGAGCATTACATCAGTAGCAACCATGTTCCAAGCACTCTGACATTTTATCATGGTAATCTTTTATTAGTATTTAGGCCAACAGAGATTTAGATATCCAATGCATGCTAATATTTCAGCTTTTAATCTGTCACATCTATCCCCAAGACTACGTGTATTTTGTTAATGCTTCATCCATTCTTTCAAGATGGACTGATTCTCACATGGATCTTAATCCTTATGTATCTACCACTGGAGAATTGATTTGTAAACTCTTTATATATCTTGTGTATTTAAAAGCATAATAAGTGCTGATTTTAAGAACGTCAAAACTAGTTCCTCATATCTTGCAGTCCCAACCATTAGATATCAATAGTATTAATTAGTGATACTTGTTGATGATTCCTGGTTGTTACTCTAATATCTGCGACTTGAAATTCCAGGCTGAGAAGAATGTTCGTGCGTCGATTTATCTAGACAACGAAAAGCCATGTATTTCAAGGATTTTATAAACTAACGGTTCAGTAGTAGCAACACTAAATAGTAAATGCCGAAATATACTTAAATGGTTAGTTGTTGTCCGGGCTTTGTAAAAAAATGTTCGAATAAAGTGAAGATAATATATCGTAAACCTGTGTTAATCCTTCATGTGAACATAACTATGAAAGCCTAAGTCTTGAACTTACTAGTTAAGCCGATACTAATTGCCCAGATAGCGTTTTTCTGTCTTCGGGTGCTCTGTGGGGTCAACGGGGCCGCGCTACGTTCGTCGGATTGGTTTGGTGACGGCCTCAGCGATATATAGGTTCCGATTCACATTTGTATATTAAGGACAGATAGCCTACGGCCTATGTTATTCCTTTTCTAGTATGCTTCTATGAGTGTCTAGTCTCCTCTTGAATGGGTCGATTGAAGGTGCGGACACCACTGCTTCGCGTAACAGGTTCCAAGGATTGATGACTTGGCGTCAAAACCTGTATGCCACGGGTATTTTGTTCGTTCTTGACTTTTCTACTCGCCTGCTATGTCATCTTAGATGTCCCAATCTAGTGGGAAGAAAACGAAGATAAGAAAGAGTAAAGTGGTCTAACTTTTCAAGCCGTTCTTTGTATGGTAAACCCCGGAGTTCCGGAATCGCACGGGTAGTTACCCTCTGTACTTTTTCCGGGATATCCGAGTCACCTTTTAAACAGAGGCTTACAGCCTGAACGCAGTTTTGAAGCTTAGTTTTCACTAGGGTTTTGTATACTGTAGTGAACATGGCAGTATCTAACTTGGTGAATGCCCATCTTAAAGCCCATAGGGTTCTAAACCCCTTAGCTGCAATCTCGCAGCAGTGGCCTGTGATCCTAAGATCATGACTCACTGTCACCCCAAGATCCTTGTGAGACCGAACCACCGGTACAGGCACTTCTCCTATGCTGTACCTATTTACCTTTGTATCCCGAAAGTGCATGTAGACATACTTTGTTGTGTTGATAGGCACCATCCACTCTATAGACCAGGTAGTCACAATATCTAAGTCTGCCTGAAGTGCGCATGCATCGGCGTCACCTGTTATTTCTCGCCAGATCTTTACATCATCAGCGTATAGTAACATTGGGGACTCAACTATACTTGGGGCGTCATTTACATACAGTATGAATAGTAAAGGACCTAGGACAAAAACTTCCAGTGTTCCACTAAGTACTGGTCTACAGTTGGAGCACTTGGGATTCACTCTTACTTTCTGTCTACGACCTACCAGGAAATCCTTAATCCAATATAGGAGGGGTCCGACAATGCAAAGGTTTTCCAGCTTCAAGAGCAGTCTATCTGTTGGCACCTTATAAAATGCTTTGCTGAAGTCTATATAAACAACATCCACTGATTTTCCATTGTCTAGAACCTTTATCGATTGCTCCCTTGCTATAAGGAGGTTTGTTGTGCAAGATAAACCTTTCCTGAAACCATGTTGTTCGCTGTTTAACAAGTTGTTGGTTTTCTCGAATGTCATTATGGTCTTTTCGACTATTCTTCCCATTAACTACGACAGTGGTGAGGCTGACAGATCTTTAGTTCGATAGAAGTTGTCTTGGTCTTGTTTTATGTATTTGAGTGACGATTGCATCCTTCCAGTTCGTAGGTAACACACCTTGGCCAAGTGACATATTGAATATCACAGTTAGTGAGGCTGCAATATATTGTGCAATTTGTCTCAGGATTTTGGGTTGTAGTTCATCCGATCCTGTTGACTTTTCCATGTCTGAGGTACTATGAACCTTAAGTACATCATTTCGATCAAAGCACACAGTGAACAGACAGTTTGTTGACTTTCTATTTGGGCCTAGTTCTTCGTCTAGAAGACTAGTAAATGTAGTAAGATGTTATAACACGCTAGCGCCATTATAATGATATAAAATCTCAAACTAAATGTTAAATGGTCTTAAACTCAACCTCATCACCTGCTTTGATTTGGAGATTAATTGGTGTTATTAGCCCCAGATAGTATGTGGATTGGGTTCAGTACTTAAATTTGCATGTGTTTTGTGGTTAGTACAATTTATACCAAAGATTAAAGTTGGAATTCCTTCGTATCTTCCTGACGATGTACGTTCTTATATAGTAGATTGACCCTCTGTATTTACTACATTGTTCTCATTAAAGTAGACGTAGTGCAGTTCTGATCTTTGTGAGTCGGATTTTGTAGCTTCAGTTGGTAGAATATTAGTTTTAGTTCTGTTGTTCTGCTGTCAATAGTAAATCTTTCAGCGTGCAATAAATTAGGGCTGTAATGTTCATAACTAGACACAACAATATAGCTTCTTAAGTTGTTGGATCAAAAAATTGTAGTTATCTGCAGACACAAAATCAGTTAATAATTTGACATACTCAACCATGCTGGAGAATCGCACAACATTCAAAACCGGAAATTGTTACGAAAACTTTTGGTTAATCATAGTTTGTTCTTATTGTTATTCAAACGAATGAACATCGATACAAAGAGGCACCAAAATATGTATGCGCTTCCAAAGTCATTGCATTTGTGTCTGGAGTGAGGTACTGCCCGGATGCCCAAATCGAAGCCAATGGTTTTTCTTCCGACTGTTGCTGCTACCTTGACGTGGTGGTTGGGCTTGCCTATCGTAATGAACCAATCGAGCTATACTGGCTGGAATAATTGTTCCTCAAGCCCCTACCTTACCAGACAGGCCGGTTGAAGAACGACAAGACTGAAAGCAGCAAACCCAAGGTCCAAGGGCGAAGTGGAGCATCGTAAGGAGATGCAGTCCCATGGTAGCCGGTAACCAACAAATGGTTCATACGCCATTTGTTCCTTCAGGATACTGGAGCTCATGTGCACCATTGGTTTGGAATCCGGTTAAAGCGCCGGACATTCGCTTTTCGTTCTCTCATTTTCGTAAACAACACCCCACCACGTGTAGTAAGCAAGTTAATGGGAATCTATATCAACTTACTGACATTGTTAAGTAATTAAACCTATTTGTCGTTTCACGATTGATATCCTTTTCCTCTCTGTCTCTTAACCAGATGCATCATGCCCGCGACGTGTGATGGTCTATACTGATGGTTCATGTAACGGTGCACATGATGATCGTCGTGCTGGTTATGGTGTTTACTGGGGGCCCAATCATCCATGGTAAGCATCGAATTGGCTCTTATCATTCCAAGGAATGTCTCTGAGCGGTTGGAAGGAGAGCAAACAAATAATAGAGCAGAAATTGAGGTAAACTTTTATTTTGATAATAATTGCTTCTAAATATCGACCACATTTATTTAAAAAGTTTTCTGTAACTAGCTTTTTATTAATACTGGTATGTAATAAAAGATGTGACCTTGAGCTTCAGGCCGTCAAACGTCTTCTCATAGTAAAAGAAGTTGATGTATAGTGACGAATTCCATTCAATCGATTGTTAAACGACGATCCGTAGTGTCGCAACCTGGTCTGTGCACGATCAATTCTTACGGAATCCAGCCTGTTGATCTTGAAGTTGGACGTCTACTGTATCTTCCACTCGGTTCAACAACACTCTGTCGAAAACTTTTCCTGGTACTGATAGTAGTGTGAAGCCTCTGTGTTTCTAACACTTGCTGAGATCCGCTTTCTTTGGTATCTCGATGAAATTTCCTTCTTTTCAGTCTGTCGTCACTTGTTCTTCCTCCCAAATCTTTATGAATAGAATGCGGAGCATGTTTGCAGTTACCTCTATGTCTGACTTCGATGCTTCAGGTGGTAGATTTTCAGAGCGTGCTGTTTCCCCACTCTTGATTTGTCTGATGGCCATGTTGATTTCCTCGACCGTTGTGGAATGACATCTATGGGAAGGTCTGTGTATTTTGCTTCGATGTCTGGTGAGTTCAGTGAGACTGATCTTTTCAAGAGTTCTTCAAAGTGTTCTACCCATCTGTTCCTCTGTTCCTGAATCTGAGCGATTGGCATGCCCTCTTTGTCCTTGACCGGTCTCTCTGCTTTACCATGTTTCCCTGAGAGTTTCTTCGTTGTATCATATGGTTGTCTCATATTTCCTTCTCTTGTAGCTTTTCCCCTCTGTCATTGCTAGGTCTTGCACATATTTCCGTTCGTCGGCTCTAATGCCCTTCTTCCTCGACCGAAGCTGCTACCTTGACGCCGTGGTCGGGCTTGCCTATCGTGATGACCCAACCGAGCTATATTGGCTGGAACATATGTTCCTGTAGGTTCTACCATGCCAGGCAGGTCGATTGGTGAACGGTAAGACTAAAAGCAGCAACTCAAGGTCTGAGGGCGAAGTCGTACTGCTGACTGTAGAGAGGTGTGACAGCAGTAAGGTGTTTCCCTCGGACAACCAGCATGACAGCGATGCTGCCTTCCCACAAAGAGGGGTGGGGTTAGAAAAGGTCGACCCTAAAAATGTCACACCTCACCTTACCTCACGGATTTCCGTCTCCGGCGGTAAGGCCCTTTGAAGAACGGAGCTAACACGTCAAAAACCTTCCACAAAAGGCCGTTCGTGACCGGCCTCAAGCAGTTGTCCCTTGGGCTCTGCGGTCATGCTCCTAGGTCGTCAAGACCAACACTAATCCAATTTCCTTTTCAGGTTCCTCAAGAAATACCCTTCCACGGTGTGGGCAGCCGGGAAGTGACATCAGCCCTCATACCCGTAACAGCACAAGAGACCAAGGTGGTCACATTCAAATCCTTCCTACACCTCCTAATACCTCTCTTATCTCCATGACTAACCCTCCTCACGTCTCTTTATCACCTCGAACCGCTAGGGCAAATAATTCGAGTACGTGGAACGCCATTCCTGGTCTCCTGAAACCACGCTCTAAACTACACGTAGGAGCTTTTAACGTACGAACACTTTGCCAAATAGGACAGCAGGCTTCCTTAGCTAAAACTTTAGAATCTCGCGCCATCGATGTGTGCTGCGTCTCCGAAACGCGCATACAGGATCCAAGTAGCGTCGTTCATTTGACCTCACCATGCCAAAATAAAGAACCGACTCGATTTACGCTTCGTGTATCTGGAAGCCCTGATTCTGCTTCCCGTGGCCTCACCGGCGTAGGTATAGCATTGAGTCCTAGGGCAGAACTAGCTCTCTTAGAGTGGATCCCAGTAAACAGTCGTTTGTGCGCTGTCCGACTGAACGGAACAGTAAGAATCCGGAAAGATAGGGACACTCGTCGTTGCCTCTTCGTCGTCTCTGCTTATTCTCCCACTGACTGCAGCTCAGATGATGTAAAAGATGAGTTTTACAGAAAGCTTTCGGACCTTCTCCGAAAAGCTAGGCGCTCGGATGTAGTAATAGTGGCCGGTGACTTTAATGCTCAAGTAGGTAAACTAAGCGATAGGGAAAGACACCTAGGTGGATCTTATGGTGTCGTGGCTCAAAGAACAGATAATGGCGACCATCTGTTGCAGCTATGCTCAGATAACCGCCTGTTCCTTGCAAATACTAACTTTAAGCATAAGGAAAAACATCTTTTAACATGGCGACCCCCTAATTCGTCCCAACGTTGGACCCAAATAGATCACATCGCTATCAGCCACCGATGGAGGGGCTCGATAGAAGACTGTCGCTCATTCTGGAGCACATGCCTAGATTCAGATCATGCTCTAGTGCGAGCGCGTATTTGCTTGCGTCTTACTGGACGTAGGAAAGACGCTGCAAGGAAACCTCTTAGGGGCCTACTTAATGATAGTCAAGCTAAGAGTATATTTCAGGAACAACTAGGAAAACAGTTAGGCAGCCATGTATGTGATGCCCACCGCGATGCAGCATGGAATGATATCCGAAAAGCTGTGGCGGCGGCGGTAAGTAATAGCAGACAATTGTTCAGACTCGTTAAGGAAACCGGAATTAGGAACCCGATCGTTAGCGAAACAATCTCAGAGAAAGATAGACATCTTATACTTTCTCAATCCAGGAGATCGGATCGATGGGCAGAACACTTTAGGGATCAGTTCAACTGGCCTTCAGCCACACTTTGGTTTCCCACGATCTCTAGTCAACCTGAATGGCAAGTTAATGTAAGTCCTCCGTCCCTTTACGAAGTTGAAAAAGCCATAGGAAATCTGAAACGAGGGAGAGCACCAGGCCCGGACAGGTTTACTCCTGAGATTTTTAAGGATGGTGGTCCAGTATTAGCAATGAGATTAACCGAGGTCTTAGGTAGAATTTGGGAACTGGACGTAATCCCATCTGACTGGTCTCAATCACTGATTGTGCCAGTCTATAAGAAAGGACAAAAGCCCTCTTGTGACAATCACAGATGAATCAGTTTGACTAATATAGTGTCTAAAATATTAGCTTTAATAATACTTCGACGCCTAATCAAAGCTCGTGAAGAGCAGATTAGAGAAAACCAGGCCGGTTTTCGACCTGGACGTGGTTGTATAGATCAGATATTCACACTACGTCAGGTTCTAGAACACAGACACACATTCAGACGCCCCACAATGGTAGTATTTCTCGACCTTAAGGCGGCATTTGACTCTGTTGATCGTGAGATTCTATGGCAGTGTTTGTCACTGAAAGGAGTACCAAAGAAGTACATTAACCTTATAAAGGCTCTCTACTCGAACACAACTGGTAGAGTGAGAGCTTATGGCGAACTGTCATCAGAATTGATTACCTCAATTGGTGTTCGTCAGGGCTGTCCACTCTCCCCATTCTTGTTCAACTTTGTGGTCGACGTACTTTTAGAGATAACACTTTCCTCATTTAAATTTCCAGTAGTTGAACTTCTACCAGGAGGTTCACTTGTTGACTTAGAATATGCCGATGACAGTTCTGTTTGGTGAAGGCGCTGACAAGATGCAGAGTCTTCTGACCATTCTAAGCAACAATGCAAGCATGTTCGGGATGCGATTCTCTCCCTCGAAATGCAAAATGTTGCTTCAGGATTGGGTTACATTGACACCCGAACTAATGATAGGGAGTGAAGTAGTTGAGTGTGTCGACCGCTTCACTTATATTGGAAGTCTCATCAGCCCTTGTGGTTTAGTGTGTGACGAAATCTCAGCACGGATACAAAAGGCTCGACTAGCTTTTGCCAACTTGCGTCATTTATAGCGTAGGCGAGATATCCGTCTATCAACCAAAGAACGTGTTTGCTGCGCAGCAGTTCGTTCCGTCCTACTATATATGGCAGTGAAACATGGCCGGTAAGAGTAGAAGATATTCGTAGGTTACTAGTATTCGATCATAGATATCTTCGAAACATTGTTCGTATATCCTGGGACCATCGAGTAAGTAATGTAGTTGTTAGGAAACGGGTAATAGGTAAGGATGGCAAGTCAGTTGATGAAGTAGTGAAACTTCATCAGTTGAGATGGCTGGGACATGTGTTACGTATGCCCAACGACCGACTGCCTCGACGTGCTATGTTCAGTGGTATAGGAGTAGGTTGGAAGAAAGCTAGGGGCGGCCAAACCAAAACATGGCACAAGTCCATGAAGTCACTGACAAGTGAACTGAGTCATGTTGGTAGGTGTAGACTACCTGGTTGGGGACCACGAGATGATAGCCACCGATGGTTAGAGACGTTGAATGACTTAGCTCAAAATCGTTTGCAATGGCGCAGGTGCATCCACTCTTTGTGTTTTCCCAAATTCTAATCTTCTGAATTCTTCATGTCCCTTTCTTGTTTTCTCTTTCCAAATTTATTTCACTGGATTATACTCTTTAAATAACATCTCCAAACCCTAATATTCCCGATTACTGCTTATACTCTTGCTACCTCTATCACTACGGGATTTGAATCGACCACTGCATCTGTGTGCTAATGTGGTATGGCAACTCGAACTGATGTACGTACGTACGAGGTTCTTTGTTGTTACTGACTGATGCCCTTCTTCACTTGCTTGTTTACTTTTGTGTATTCGGTCTGTGCCTTGACTCTTTCTGTTCTTGTTTGGCTGTTGTTATTTGCTGTCTTCTTGTTCTTCCTTTCTTGAATCCTGTTCAAGGGTTCAATAGAGATTCATTCCTTATGATGATGCATTTTGCGGTCCAGCACCTCCTGACACGTTGAAGTTAGTTATTCCTTGTTTTTTCCCCAGTACTTCTCCATAGTAGTTTCTTCCAGTAGATCCTGTAAGGCTTGGCAGCTGTTGTTGAGAGTTATCCTGAATTCGTTGAGTTTGTCAGTATATCGAAGAAAGACTGTACTGAACCCTTGTAATGCTGTTTCCCCAGCTGTCCATTGCTTCTTTAGCTTCAGTTTTATTGTAGCAGCCAC